CAGGATGTAGCAGTGTATTTTTATCAAATATTTAAAGAATGTTGTGTTTTAATTTTATTAGAAATATTTTATACAAATTTGGACATCGATTTGGTTAACAAGGTTAAAGCAAAAATTTGACCAATTGCCTATAATCTCAAAGTAGACTGAGAAAAGCAGAGATGAGAGTTTGGTTTCTTATATACAATAGATATTATTAGTTTCTGTTCATAATTAACTTAAATAGAAGCTCTGAAAATTAGAGAGTTAACTCCAAGACTCATTTGGTTTTTAGTAACAAAATTACGTTACACTTCATGCAAATTAAAGTAGACTGTTTTACTTAATTGGTTTATCAGGTTTGAAACCTGTCAGATGCATAGGTTATCTGAATGTTATCTGGAGAGTATTTCGAGGGTCAGTGCTCCCTGTTGCCTGGTCCGAGACCAAGTCTTCCAGTTGATGGTGTGAATAACTAGGTTGTTGCTGCTAGCCAAGTGCAGTACAATATATGAACCTCAGCCCGGCTGCTCAGGAACTTATCAGGTTTCCTTACGAAGACATATAAGGGTCTTTTTGTTATCCCTCTTTGTGAATGAAAGTAAAGTGTTGAAAAATCTTAGTTCATATACACATCCACTTTAACTTCTTACTGGGGGTATTTTGCACTATCTGCCAAGCCTCTTTTTTTCCATAGGAGGCATGCTTCTACGTAATCACATGGAGTGAACACGAGAAATATCATGTTAGGGAGACAACCAGAAACCTGGAGCAACGAACAAGAAATCACTGGAACATATGCAGTAGGGGTAACGAACACAACACCTGGGCCGTCCACCGCAGCACCCACCTTATGAAACTTAACGAGGCCAAATTAGGCTTCAAGGAAGACTACCTAAACAAATAACGCTGCCAGAAAGTACCTCGATATGCTACCCCAAACACTACCTTCCAGAATACTCAAATAAGCCGCACATACGAGAGAGAGAGAAGCTATGACAACGTTCCAGTCCAACTTGGACCATTTATAAATCACAGTAATACACGGAAATGAGGGAGCTAGTATATATAGGAGAGAGGGACAGAGATGGGACAGAGACATGAAGAAAAAAGAAGTGGAGAAGTAGTGATAGAGGTAATGCTGGTAGTGGTAGTAGTAGTAAAAGTAGTAGTGGTAGTATGATTTAAGAAATCGTAATGACACGATTGCAAACAAACCGTTTGCAATCGTCAATGTTGACGGCAGTGAAGGGACTTGATCTAGAGTTTGTCACGGCCACGCTAGCTGGAGATTCATCTGTAAAAACTTGCATTTGTGGTCACAGTGGTGCCTGTGCTAACCTTCCTATGGTGTAGAAATATACCTAGTTGGATGAATCTTATTGTGGCTAGCTTGTCTAGTGGCTAACGCGACGGGCTGGAGTTTTGAGACTCTATAACCGCGGGTTCAATCCCGGCCGGGGAATGGTTTAGTGGTAGTAATAAGTAGGGGAAGTGGTGGGAGATAGAAAGGGGAGTGAAGCGAGTCAATAGTAGTAGTAGAAGTAGTAGTAGTAGTAGTAATGGAGTAGTAGTAGTAGTAGTAGTAGTGGTAATGGAGTAGTAGTAGTAGCAGCAGTGTAGTATTAGTAGTAGCGGTAAAAGTGGAGCAAGTCTAAAGACAGAAAAGGGAGTACTGCAGGAGAGCCTAATGGCCTACAGGGGTGAGACCAAAAACACAGGGAGCAAAAAACTGAAGGACAGAACACACCTAGGCAGAAGAAAAGGAAGACAAAGCAAAATAGCAAAGGAGAAAAGGTAGGCAGAGGAGAAGAAAAGATCATGTCTAGTCACTAGTGTTCTCAAGTTGGGCGCAGCCACACTATTTCAGAAGTCCTAGTCAAACTAATACCCCAACATTACAACACAGCGACCATCCAGAAGTTGGAGTCCCGGAGCACTGCAATGGGCTCACAGACCCACGTCTGGGAGGCTTCTCAACTCTCTCACCCCAGCAAGCAGCACCAGTCCCTCATTTACCTCCCAGGGCTCACCCGCTCCTGTTCACCATACAAACTCTCCCAGTAGGACATCCTAACACTGCGCGTGTGTCTTATTTCAAATTTACCGGTATTTTGCACAATCTTTAACCCATGAATGCAAAGCTGTTTAAACTTATTAGTTTACCATAAGTATTGAGAGGAAAAGCAGAAAAATATATATGCGCTGAAAACCCTTTCTTTACGCGAGAGATTCGTTCCTGTAAATTATTGTCTTATGTAAAACAGTGTTATGTAAGGGTCATTATGGCAGCATGTCACCTGCACATCACCAGTCGAGAATACATTAATCCATAAAACAGGGATTAAATGAACTCGGCGTATATACACTGAGAGGCGATTGGTTTGTTAGGTATAAAGCTTATCGATTACACTTTCAGTTAAGGTTACTTTAGTCCCTAACGAAATTATCAAAATGTGTAAATGAAAGACAAACAAGCTTCTCGGACTTAAAGTAGTCGGATGGTTGTTGCCGTCTGTAAAGTAGACAACTGTGTACACCGAGAAGTTGTATTAGAGAGACACTTTTAGTGGAAAGACTATTCGCTCACGGAGAGTGAAGCGTCGTGTAATGAAGATTCTTTCAGCTTAATGTCTTAGACTCACGTATTTTTATCACTTTTTTTCCAATGTGAACGTAATGCTTATTATAACACAATCGCATAATCTCTATATGTCTCTGCCCACATTATGCAGCATTTCCCTGCCGCATCTGCCATCGCCCAGCAGCTCCGCATCAAACCTACCTACCACATCTCTCATTACCTCTTCCTCAGTGTAACGAGTTGTTTAGCTTAATGTTGTGAGCACATATGAAGGATTTTACTCTATCTCATACTTAATTTAAAGATAATACTTGTTTTACATATCCTATCTTTATCCAAACTACCATAGTTTTTCTCACTTTTACACCTGCCTCTAGCTTTATTAACGTAATATCAGCTGTCTCGAGAGAATTAGATGTTACTAGATTGTAGCTAGTTTTCAGTTGTTAGCCTCAGAAGACAGCAAGTGACAGTATGATTTTCATTCCTTTCCTACATGTTATCTATCAGAGGGTATGCATCTGGCTCACGTCACATATGGGTAAAATTCCTTACAGCGGCAGTCCCTGGGTGTTTGCTGACTCTCTTGGGTGACACCTTGGGAAAGGGAACCAAAGAACCCAATATAAAAAAGCCACGGACCTGACTTTCTCGGGTAATCCTTGTACAATTGAACTCTGAAACTGATACTCTAAAGAAAGTCATCCTCATGTACCTTCGTACTCTCTCGCCCAGCGGGAACGACAAGAACCAAACTTGTGACTCTACCCGAGTTTTGAAGAGCTTGTCCAACATTCCATTAACAGCTCTGAAAAGGAGGAAAAGAGTTAGGAAAATTTAATCGAGAAGTTTGGACCGAGGTTTTTCTTGAGGTAAAGCAAAATTAATTTATAAACATTATTATGGAGTATGAAGTTTATTGTTCGTTATTGTTATTTTTATTATTTTTATTATTACACTGGCCGATTCCCACCAAGGCAGGGTGGCCCGAAAAAGAAAAACTTTCACCATCATTCACTCCATCACTGTCTTGCCAGAAGGGTGCTTTACACTACAGTTTTTAAACTGCAACATTAACACCCCTCCTTCAGAGTGCAGGCACTGTACTTCCCATCTCCAGGACTCAAGTCCGGCCTGCCGGTTTCCCTGAACCCCTTCATAAATGTTACTTTGCTCACACTCCAACAGCACGTCAAGTATTAAAAACCATTTGTCTCCATTCACTCCTATCAAACACGCCACGCATGCCTGCTGGAAGTCCAAGCCCCTCGCACACAAAACCTCCTTTACCCCCCTCCCTCCAACCTTTCCTAGGCCGACCCCTACCCCGTCTTTCCTTCCACTACAGACTGATACACTCTTGAAGTCACTCTATTTCGCTCCATTCTCTCTACATGTCCGAACCACCTCAACAACCCTTCCTCAGCCCTCTGGGCAACAGTTTTGGTAATCCCGCACCTCCTCCTAACTTCCAAACTACGAATTCTCTGCATTATATTCACACCACACATTGCCCTCAGACATGACATCTCCACTGCCTCCAGCCTTCTCCTCGCTGCAACATTCATCACCCATACTTCACACTCATATAAGAGCGTTGGTAAAACTATACTCTCATTTATATATCCCTCTTTGCCTCCAAGGACAAAGTTCTTTGTCTCCACAGACTCCTAAGTGCACCACTCACCCTTTTCCCCTCATCAATTCAAATGATTCACCTCATCTTTCATAGACCCATCCGCTGACACGTCCACTCCCAAATATCTGAATACATTCACCTCCTCCATACTCTCTCCCTCCAATCTGATATCCAATCTTTCATCGCCTAATCTTTTTGTTATCCTCATAACCTTACTCTTTCCTGTATTCACTTTTAATTTTCTTCTTTTGCACACCCTACCAAATTCATCCACCAATCTCTGCAACTTCTCTTCAGAATCTCCCAAGAGCACAGTGTCATCAGCAAAGAGCAACTGTGACAACTCCCACTTTATGTGTGATTCTTTATCTTTTAACTCCACGCCTCTTGCCAAGACCAATTTGAAAATATTTGAAAATATTCATGGATTTACTATAATCTAAATTATTTTGCTGTTCGTTAATTTATGGTTCAAAACAAGGAAATGATGAAATGAGAATCTGGACTTGGAATTATGAGGACAGCTGTTCAGTTCCTTGTACTCGTGTACTACTTACTTAGGTAATCATTACTCAATAAGTAATGATTACCTCGTCTGTTGAATATAGTTCTACAGTCTTCCTATTATGCCCTTGAATTTGCATTGATAAAGCCACTGGATGACGAAACATCTACATATAAAGATACCCAGATGTTGCACATGTGTCTACTTGTTTATCTTGCCGGTATTATATAACGTTCATGTACAATGAAGCTTGAGATAACAGTGATTTAACAACAAACCTTTCTTGCCCGCAGACCTTGCTGCCAGACCTGGTTGTTGCCAACCCACGCCTCTCCGACCTGTGGGAAGCCGCCACCTCATTCATCTCCGCCCTGGAATGGTGCCAGCCAATCCTTATCCACGATGATTCCCCCCAGGCCCTGCAGCTGGCCCACATCGCCTCCCGCGATGACACCTACGACACCATGGGCCTCTCCCTTTCCGCCAGCCTGCCCCGACACCACTTCCAGAACCGGCTGGGCGGCATTCTCCACACGGTGCGCAGGCTCATCTTCGTGTCCGGCACAGTCAACTTCGTTAAGGTGGTGTTTAGCCACGGTAGCGACCTGGACATGTTTAATGGGGAGTACATCTGGATCTTGCTGGACGTGCCCCTTCCCGGTAACCTGTCGGAGTTCCTGCGTCCCGGCCTCCTCAGTCTTCGCCCAGACTTCCTAAGAACCCCTAAAAAGCAGCTGCTTATAAACTTTGTTAAATCGTCAATATCTGTGATATCGGAGTTTTTCAAAGATACCACCGTGGCCTCGTCAGCGTTGCTGGCGACGTCAGCGCCTGTACAGTGTCAAGTGCCTTACAGAAATCTGTCCACGAGTCAATCTGAATTACACAGGTGAGTTCTGTGTTCCCAGACATTTTAATCCAAATTAAAATTCATGAGATCTATTCCTGAACAGGAGCAAGCGTTTTTCTTCTCAATGTATATTTACTTTCAATATAATATTAAGATATATTCAGGGCAAAATTATGAATCAGCTCCCAGCTTCATTAATATTTGTAGATCTTTTTAACTCTATGCTTAAAGCTCCGGCCTTTTTCCTCGATCGAGATTCATAGAAGTATCACGTTACCAGTAAGTACCTTGGGAAAATACTTTTTTAACGACGTAGGTGTTTTTAACTTAGTATTAATTTTGAATAGTTTTTATCTGAAGGACAGTGTGAATATAGAATTATTATTAAATTCATAACTAAGAGCTAAACCCATATGGATCATACAGTGCTGCAATGTGAATTTAGAAAATCAATGATAAACTGGGAGACAACAAATGAACAGAATCCTGAGGTACTGACTTACTTTCCTTTTTGTTGGGTATAGGCAACGGGAATGATGGAGAGTAGTGAATATTAATTTACACATCACCATTTTCTAGCCGAATGTTGAAAGGAAATGAGGAAAATAGACAATTATTAATTAGGTGCTGCTTTAACCATATCTGTGCCATGCTGAGGAAGGCCGGTGTTACCTGCTCCGGGTTCAGTGTACACTTGATGATCAGCTTACTTAACGAATACAACGAGATGCCACTATTTATGCTTCTGAGGGACTTACTTAGATGCATTTGTGTATATATGAGGAAGCGCTAAACATATAGGGATTATACGGCACCGGGGGAAAATTAGGGATGATAGGTAATTAGATTGATCCGAGAAAGTGGAGAGTAGTTACAAATCACAAGAGCACAAGCTCTTCACCAGCATGCAGGGTTCTCTAGGTAACAACTCTGAGGAGAGTGAGTCTCCTGGCACTTCTTTGAATGTTGTGTGTGTGAAACTGTCTGAATTTCCAGGTTACCTACATAAGAGCCAAAAGCATCATGCATTCTGAAGCATCTGTGGGTGCTGGAGAAATTCAAGAGAAAGAGGGAGACTAGATTTTGCCGCCGAAGAGGTTAGCTTATTGTGCACCCTATATTCATCCTATGGATGGTAGCCCAAGAGCATATGGATACACGAAAGACCTACGAACTAGACCGCGAAAGGATTAACTGAATTTCATCAGGATTTTTATCTATATAGGAGGACCCGCTTATACAGCTATATAAGCGAAACATAGCCCTTTTTTCACTTTCAAAGGCATATAAATGCCTGATAACATGTTTGCACTATCATATATTGAGCAATAAAGGTATGTCTAAAAACTCAGCATAAGTCTGTTCTTATTGTAAGTTGCTCAATAAACGTACTTATCTATATTCATGTCTTCATTCTATCATGAGGCTTGTAACTGCATTCTTATGGCTTTCACTCCCGTTATTTACTTCTCTCCTAATATTATTCCTAATGCTAGACACGGATATACCAAAGATATACATTTTCTTTAAGGTGCTTTCTTTGGCTAACTTATTTCTTCATCAAGAAAGAGTAACTCATTGCTTGATGGAATCCATAAAATCGTACCTTAACTCTATTTTCTCTGATTTTTTGAGTATCTGTATCTGTCTTCTCGAATTAGAACGTCAATCATTATGTGAATCAAACTCTCTCAGTGATGACTGAATCAGAAATAATCAAAGAGTCGAACTCAGTGTCATTAGAATGACAAACAATCCATTTGCAGTGCATACGCCCAGTTGTTAATTCTGACGCCTAACCCAGCATGGTCACTGCCGTTCTTGTCTGGGGCAGCGGCAACAAGAGCAGCTGCAGCCTTGCTGATGGACTTGCTTAGATGTTTCGATGCCTGTTCAAATCGACACCATGCCCAGCTCTTCTAGGGTAGGGTAGGTGCCTGAGCCCGAGCCTTTAGCTCATAAGACTGTCATTCCCATTTGCCCCCTTGGGGCGGGGATGGCAGACCAGAGAGGCCTAGCTTGTGGCTAGGCCTGGGGACAGTTGGTCCCAAAGATGAGGAGGTACTTGTGCCTCCTCCCATGGGAGACTTAGGTCTCAGACACTCCCTAAAGAGGGAGCCAAGGCCGGGCCACCACTTGGAAAAGGCCCGGGCCGGGAGAATACCGGCTAATCTTTTCCTAACCTAACCTAACCGATGCCTGTTATTTGTTAAATATTATTAGAGAGAACACTTAAAGATAAAAACAAAAAATAATGAAAAGGGGAAAATAAAACGAAAGTGTTGAGGATAGAAAGAAGCAAAAAATAAACTTGAATAAAACCATAATAAGAAAGAAGTGATAGTGATGAAGAACGAGGGTGAATAAAATAAAAAAAATGAATGTATAACACATAGGCAGTGTGAGTAATGTAGGAAAGAGAGAGGAAAAAAACACAGTAATGCGAGAGCATTGCTAGAATCATCATGTAGTAACATCCCACACTCTTACCATCATGAGCTAACACACTCGTTTCATTCGAGGGTCTTCGGAGTTATGGCCACAACCAGTGGCCATAACTCTGCTTTTGTCTGTATATAATGCAAACCATCCAACGAAGGTATTAGTTAAACTCCTTCCACAGGACGATTAACATTGTAATACTAGTCTTGGTAAATTTGTATTGCTGTCATTACATTCATGTGGAATCACTAAGCCGGCAGGATCGTAGCGCTTGGAAAGTGGAAGTCGATCAGGTTCAATCCCAGGAAAGGGGAGGATGTTTTCAGTAAGATATAAAATGACCACAAATTTAAAAAAAAAGAAAGATCTATGCAAAATTAGGTCAATTACGTTAACGTTTCGCCCACTTGGTGCGCGAAATCTTTTCTTAAGAAACTCAGTTTTGAACAAATGCCTCTAATACACCAGGCGAGAATAGCTCCAATTTCTTATATCAAGATCCGTTCACAAGGTATCCCACATGACGGGACAACCTCAGAAGAGGTACGAACCACGTACTGAAGACCTCCAGAGTCCAGACCTTTGGTTTACCTCCCCAGTTCAGTCAAACCACTGTGACTGTAAATATTCTCCCAGATAGAAATTAAATTTTCCAGCATAAAATTCACAGAGTTCGCTAAAAAAAAATGACGTCGTGCATAATTTATATTTTTCATGCTCCATGTTTATTTTTATTCAGGTTACAGTAATTAAATAAAGTACTCTATTTAAATTAATTTTTTTTTATCTGGGTTAAAGAAGTGTTTTGTTACGTCGACGAACTGGTATTATTGCACACACACACACACACACACACACACACATATATATCACGTAGGAGTTAGTTTTCCTCGCTAACTAAAGGAATTTTCGGTCTTGCTGCAGAAAGTCAAGTTTAAGAAATATTATTTTTGCTATATTTGCAGTCTTGAATGAATTTTCATTTAGCATTTTTTGTAGAGCTTCTATATATTTTTAGTACTTTCTTTATCGTTATCTTTTTTATTCATCTTTCATTTCTTTTTCGTTTATCTATATTTCATAATTTTCTATCTTTCAGTTCCCATTTTTGTTCTTCCTTTTTTGTTTCTGATTTCTTCTCATCAACCTTCTCCTCCCGGCAAGGATCGATAAACAGTAGCATAAAGAATCTCTTGGATGAGGGATCTGATTCTCTTTTCTCCTTTCGAACTGAGATGGAGTTTAAGAGGATATGCCAACCATGTTGAAGACTGGTGAACATCGTATGTACAGACTGAGAGAAACGATGTAGATAGGGAAGAAAGGAGCATAAAGATCGAAGAGAAGGGGAAATGGAGATGCAATAGAATGTTAGATGATGAATTTTGACTTTAAAATCACGTGGAGTAGAGAGAGTGAGTTCTCTGATGCTGAGGATGGAGAGCTATGATGAAAATTGAAAACTTTGGTGACTGCGATAAAGAAAGCAAATTTCCTGATATTGACTGATCGCAATCACTAAGAAAGAAACTGGGAGAATTCAATTCCTTATTGGAGATGAAACATAGGCTATAAAGCTACTAGAGACGGCTTTAAGAAATTTATTCAGTAAGAATGCTATGGATTCCACAACAATTAGTGTAGGTCAAGAACTAACTAAACCTGGTATTAACGCAAAAGTAATGAGATTAAGGGTCCCTTTAAGAGACTTTATTCGGTTGAATAGTTCCAATGAGGAAAACTAACCAGAATACGGAACAGGAGGCTACACAGGTATGAGAGATTACTATTAAGGTTTCAGTGAAACAGTCTGCTAAAAGGGCTGACCATCTAAATTATGACGTACAAACTGAATATGAAGTGACGGAGAGTTATAAGGCCATTCCTTCTCATAAGGAAAGAAATATGACACAAGGAGAACTAATCGTTAAATTATAAATGCAAGGAAACAAAACTAAACAGTATACATGCAGTGAAAAAACAGGAAACAAATGATGACGGAAAATAGAGGATTCAACAAGATAACTTACAATATATGGAGTAAAAGAAAGGCAGACAGAGGAACAATTCGAAAATAACAGTATATATATATATATATATATATATATATATATATATATATATAAAATATATATATATATATATATATATAATATATATATATATATATATATAGTCATCTGGCAGGACGGTAGTACTTCCCTGGGTGGTTGCTGTCTACCAACCCACTACCTACCTATATATATATATATATATATATATATATATATATATATATATATATATATATATATAAAATATATATATATATATATATATATATATAGGTAGGTAGTAGGTTGGTAGACAGCAACCACCCAGGGAAGTACTACCGTCCTGCCAGATGACTGTGAAACAGAAACCTGTAACTGTTTTGCATGATGGTAGGATTGCTGGTTTCTTTTTCTGTCTCATAAACACGCTAGATAACAGGATATCTTGCTTTCTCCTACTTACACTTTGGTCACACTTCACAGACACGCACATGCATATATATAATATACATACATCTAGGTTTTTCTCCTTTTTCTAAATAGCTCTTGTTCCTCTTTATTTCT